AACCAGGTTTTTCTAAATCTAGTACTTAATAACTCTCTTAATTAAGAAGTTCCTCCTTCAATGTTCATTTCCTGGATACTGGTATACAGTGCAATCAAAACCCCCTTTCCCTTCAAGGGAGAGTGTTACTACTCCAAGATTTTTGTCCTGTGGTTCTGCTGCAGAGAGCCTCAGGGCCCACCACGGCAGCCAGTGAGAGGAAAGGGCTGCTTCCCATACCCAGTATAATAATATCGCCTCTCATGTTTTTGCAAGGTCTCTTAGCTGAAAGATGTAATGTGTATTTCAAGAAATATATATCCACATCTTGATGGCCCGAAATACATACCTACAAGGAACTGTTCAAAGTTCTTATCCAAACTACCTCGCCCAACTCCACACCTTATATCAACCTCATGCCCTTGTTTATAAAACAAAACCAATAAAAACAAAGAGCCAGAAACCCTTTTTTCCCTTCTAAATTAGTGACCTCATAGATTTTGTTTTACAGCTTATGGAAAATGATTTGGTGATCCTTCTGGAGCAGACCCTAGCAGGAGGTTGGCAACAGACAGAAACACCTCTGCTCACACTCCACCAGATCACAGGCAGGTTAGAGGAAGCTGCCAGCCTGTTCATACCTGTGTACTGAGAAGAATCTGGTACCTTGGAGGGCTCTGGCTTGGTACAAGGGAGATCTCTTGTGCCAGGACAAGGATGTGAAACTTAAGCTATCAAGAACTCTCCTGTGCTATCTCTGACCCAAATTTTAGCACCATTTTTTTTTTCCATTTCACTTTCTAAGGTTGAAACAAAGGAACCCATATCCAGAGGGGAGTGGCACATGCCTCAAACTTGATACCATCCTTAATTTCTTCAGGAACATCACTTAAAAGACCAACACTCCCAATTCTCTTTTTAAATAGATTCCTGCTGTCAACCCTGATGGCCAATTGCAAAGACTTCTATTTCCCAATGGGTAAGAGACTTCTTCATCTTCTTGGTCATGGTTGGGATGAGGTGCATGTGGTCATCCACACACAGGTCTCCAGCTGCCACTTCACCTGAAGCTCTTTACTTCCTGCATCTATTGAATGTTTGGCTTTGTCATCACAATGCATGGTGCACTGGGCCAGGTCGTCCTGGAACTTCTCCAACTGGGCTTGAGCCAGAGGTGCATGGCAGCGCCCAATGCGTTGGTGCACCTGCTGCATGGACTCTTGGCTGTCCTCCCGACAGCCGGCACTGCCGCAGAATGTGAGGCCCTGCATCTTCCGGATGTTCTCTCTCTCCAGACTCTTCACCATGGAGTCTACTGCCCCCTGCACTAGGAGCTGCTGCAGCTCTGTCAGGGCAATCCCGCACTATACCCTCCTCCGCACCAGTGCCCACATGGACTCCAGTGCTCGGGCCCCCATTTCACAGCTTCTAATACAGCTTCTGCAAGAGAGGCATCAGAGGTGCCTAAAGATAGGGGTGATACAGAGGAAGTATGCCTTCTTCCCTACTGTGGATGCTGTGGTGCACTGCCCAGATTCCCCTTTCAGGACTCAGGTGCTCATTCACCCAGAACTAGGGCGTGTTGGTGGCTGACAGTTTTCAGCTGAATTATTTTCAGCCCCCTTCACAGGGGCAGCCCACATCTATTGGCTGATCATTTGGGGTTGGGTGGGTAAAAAGTCCTGGCCCCCTTCACATAAGGGGTAGAGGATCTTTAAAAGGCCATTCAGCTCCAGAGCTCCTCTAGGAATAGCTAAAGACTTGGCTACAGCTGTGTGGCAGCTTCTTCCTCTGCCCAGCCCTGCTCCTGTCGTTCTCACAGGTGATATTCCCAGGGGCACTACCCGATAAACTTCTTCATGGAAATCGGAGTCCGTTTCCCAGGAATCCCAACCTATGGCACCTACCAGGACCATAAAAAACCTTCCATGAGCACTAATTACACAGAATGAAGAGTGTCACTATAAAAGTATGTATTAAACGTACCGGGGTCTTGAACAAAATGAGCCATACTCCCTACTTACATTCTAGCTTATGTTCTAAAACTGACAACACAGAGATGTTGTAAACAGCACACAAGTGACTTAAAGGACTTTCGATATAAAGTTATTTTACTGAAAGAATCATAGCAAGAATAATAGCCAAACTATGAAAGAACCATAGCAAGAACAAATATAAACATATATATTAAAACCAAGAACAGGAGTTGAGTCCAGGTGACTAGCAGTTCTTCGTCTGTTAGATACTATAAACCATGATTTTTTTCCCCTGGTTGTTCGTTTTGCCTATCTCCTCCCCTGAAAAGCTGCTTGACAAGGTTACTTCCCTAAGGTTCAATCATTGTTGGGGGGGGGGGGGGGGGGATGACGGACTCCTGCAGTAATCGGACTGATGCCTGTGTGTCCCCACTGCCACCTAATGGGTTCTTTGAGCATTGAAGCCTCCATTGAATGATTGAATAGTACTTTTTTTCCAACTGCTGACACTATGTCAATAAAATGGCTAAATGTGACCATATCAAACTATGGGCCACTAGTTTTCACAGGGCAAACACTGAGGCTTATTTTGACTTCTGGAAAGAAGCTGTGTTAACTGTCTCCTTTTTCCTATTTACATTTGGGTACAAATAACCAGCCATCCAGGTTGTTTGGTAAAGTATTCTTTAAAAAAAAGGGTGGGGGCTCCGGGTGGCTCAGTTGGTTAAGCGTCTGCCTTCAGGTAATGATCTCAGGGTCCTGGGATTGAAAACCATGTGGGGCTCCCTGCTCAGCAGGGAGTCTGCTTCTCCTTCTCCCTCAGCCCCCCTCTGCCCCTACCCCCTGCTCATGCATGCTCTGTCTCTCAAATTAAAAAAAAAAGAGAGCGCGATTCCAGGCTGTTTCTGCAATAACTAAGCTTTTTCTAAGATAAAGAGTCAATGAGAACATGGGGGTAGGAAACACTCAGATAAAGAGGGTATTTTCAGGGGCTAGGATGCAGATGAATCCAATTAACTCCGAGTTTAAGACCATCTTCAGACTACCACTGGAGACTGTTATATGAGAAAGCCAAATAGGGCCAAAAAAATGAAAAAAGCTCCTGTCACCACATCAGAGGGCAAGGCCCATTGGACCCTCTCCTGCCTGTGGGGAAGTCAAAATAATTCATTCTCATGCTTTTCTTCCTGGCCTTCAAAGAGCTCCTGTGACTGCTTCAGCCTCCACTGCCCACATCTTCCTGCTAGACCTTGACCCATCCAGCTTTCTACGGCCTTTTGTTTCTGACAATCACATATGCTTTTATAATCTCTCATATTACTTCTAAGCTTGTTAAAACTACTGCTAGCTCCTAGAGATCCTCTCAATTATCTATCTGCTGCTTTCCCCCACCATTTCCCAAACACACACACACACACACACACTACCACCTAAAACTATTCTAGCTAGTTTACGAATACTTTTCTCCATCTTTTTATTTTGAAAAATTTGAAACATACAGAAAAGCTGAAAGATTAGTACAATGAACATATATATCATCTGGGATGACCGCTAACATCTTGCCACATTTTAATTCTTTCTCTTCATATGTGTATATATATAAACACACACACACATTTATACACATATATATGTATATATATACATACATACATTTAAACACATATACATATACATATATATACACACACACAGTAGTTTCCCTTTATCTGCAGTTTCACTTTCCATGGTTTCAGTTACCTGTGGTCAACTGCAGTCAACAAGCACATGATCCTCTTCTGAGGTATAGTCAGAAGGTCAACAGAAGCCTAACACTATGTCACAATACCATGTCATTCACCTCACTTCATCTCATCACATAGGTATTTTATCATCTCACATCCTCACAAGAAGGGTGAGTGCAGTACAAGAAGATATTTTGAGAGAGACCACAGTCAGATAACTTTTATTATTGTATACTGTTTGTTTGTTTTTTAAAGACTTTATTTATTTATTTGGGGGAGAGAGAGGGTGTGCAAGTGGGAAGGGGTAGAGCAGAGGGGGAGGGGGAGGGGAGGGAGAGGGAAAGAATTTCAAGCAAACTCCATGCTGAGTTGAGCACGGAGCCTGACGTGGGCTCAATCTCATGACCTTGATATCATGACCTGAGCCGAAACCAAGAGTCAGATGCTTACCCAACTGAGCCACCCAAGTGCCCCTATTATGGTATATTGTTATAGTTGTTCTATTTTATTATTTATTATTGTTAATCTCTTACTGTGCCCAATTTATAAATTAAACTTTATTAAAGGTATTTTATGTATAGAAAAAAAATGTATATATAGGGTTTGGTACTACTATTTGCGGTTTCAGGAGTCTGCTTCTCCTTCTCCCTCAGTCCTCCCTCAGCATCCACTGGGGGTTTTGTAACATATGCTCCCCCCCCAATGTGGATGAGGGGAGACTACTGTGTGTGTATATACACACATGGACATATATATATACATATGTATACATATACATATACACACCCACATGAATTTCATGAAATTTCATACAATTTTTTTGGTTGAACCATTTAAAGATAAATTACAGATGTATGGCACTTCATCCCTAAATACCTGAGCAGGTCATTCTTCTAAGTAACCTAAGTAAATTTCACAACCTAAGTAAATTTCACACTCAATAAAGTTAACAATAATACAATACCATCTAATACCCAGTCCATATTCAAATTTTCCAAAGTATCCTCAAAATTTCTTTTATAGCTTTTTCAAACCAAGACCCAATCAAGATTTACCCATTGCACTTATTGTTATGTCTTTTGGTCTTTTGTCTTTTAATCTAGGAGTCCCCCACTTTTTTTTTTCTTTTTTGAGGTGGGGAGGGGCAGAGAGAGAGAGGAAAAGCGAGAATCTTAAGCAGGCTCCCAGCTCAGCGTGGAGCCTGACATGGGACTCAGTCTCACAACCCTCAGATCATGACCTGTGCCAAAATCAAGAGTCGAAAGCTTAACCAACTGAGCCACCCAAGCATCCCTCCCCAACTCTTTTTAACGACACTGACCTTTTGAAGAATTTAGGCATTTTCTTATAGAATGTCTCATATTTCGGATCAGATTCTTCCCTCAGGGTCATTTTATCTGTTCCTCCACCTCTATTTCCTATAGACAGAAATTTGGGTCAAAAGGCTTGATTATATTCAGGTTAAGCATTTTTGGCAGAGTTCTTTCATTGGTGATGCTGTTACTTCATGTTGCATCAAATCAAAAGGCCTATAAAGTCAGGTTGTTCACCATTAATGGTGTTAAGTGTGATCACTAGGTTAATTACTTTATAATTAATCTGCGGGGTGATACTGTGACACTGCACACACCCCCTTTTCCCTACTTCCTTTTACAAGATAGGTTCTAGCGTCCATTGATGATCTTTGCCTCAATTATTGGGGACTGCACAGATTTTTCCAATTGTATTATTCCATCTATAGGTACTAGCTGGCATTTTCCTACAAAGGAAAAAAAAAACCCTTCCCTCACCCTTGATTTTGAGTATCATTCTAGACTTAGGAACTTTAAAAATGCATTCAGTGCTTCGATCATCTATCACAGTCATTATTCTGTTTAGCCCAACTTGACTCACATTTGGCCAGAGGAGTTGAACTTGATTCTGTGAGCTTTTTGACTTGATCCTATTAGTTTTGGGGTACTTCCTGGCTTTCTGGCAAGGTGTTCTAGGCTCACCTTTGTACTTTTGTATTTTCTGGGCCCGAGACCTGAAAACAACCACTTCTCCAAGAAGTGCTGTTTCTTTTGTGGAGAAAGGGATCTAGATATCAAGATATGAGCACCCTCCATTGGGAGAAATTATAATATATACTTCTAAGAAATATATACAAAAACAGCTCTAATTCAAATTTAACATCAGAGGGCTTCCCCCGTAAACCTTCTTTTATTTTATATTTTTCATTTCTTTTCTCTTAGATTGCTAACATATATGATTCACTTTATAGTAGAATAGAAAGTTTCAAAATTGCAGTGCCAATAGTACAATTATAATAAATCTGTGACATCTGAGTTTTTGTTTTGGTTCTTTTTGCCCTCAGAGTATATCCCACTAAGAACATATGTAAGACTATTATTAAACACCATTTTCAAATATGTCTAAAGAATTTTGAATGACTGCCATTTCTGATCCTTGTAAAGCCTTAGGTTTAATCTTTTTCAAACTGAAGGAATCCTGTTTTCTCTTTTTGGTGGCATGTTTTCAGTTCTTTAGTGGTACCTGTAAAACACAGGAATAGCTGAAAATGCACATCCTAAGATAAGCAAGGCAGTGCAAATATAAGTGAACAAACCAGAATTGCTATGACTGATGAGCACCTGCACTGGTCAGCATCCATTTAAGGGTGTTTTTCTGTCACCTTTAAATGAATGATGGCACCTAAGAATCACCTCAGGGTATATTTTCAATGCACTGTGTGCAAAAACACTCAATAAGTACAAAAAGCCAGTAGCCTGCCCTGCAGCGACTCTCCATGCAAACATTCAAAACACCTATTATGACTAAAGAGGGCAAAGGCACAAGCAGTTATTATAACTAGGTACACATCTCTAATTCATCATCTTAGGCATTTGTCAAGATTGCAAAAAATGTGGGCAAATCTGGTGCTACTTTTAGTCAGGAAGGGAGGTAATAAAAGCTAAACTAAAGAATGAAATCTCATGGAGCACCTGGGTGGCTCAATCAGTTGAGTATCTGAGTCTTGATTTCGGCTCAGGTCAGGGTCTTGAGATCAAGTCCTGAGTCAGGCTCTACACTCAGTGGAGTCTGCTTGTCCCTCTCCCTCTGCTCTTCCCACCGCCTCCCCTCGCATTCTCGCTCTCTTAAATAAATAAAATCTTAAAAAAAAAAAAAGAATGCAATCTGTCATTTAACCAATAGTTTGTCACATACTCTTGTGCTCTGCAGTGGGCTGGCACATTCCAAAGGCAGCTGCTATATTTTAAATTTCTTCAATGAAAGGAAATGGCTGTATATTCTAATGACAGTTTGTGGAGTCTTCAAATGTCATTTTACCTACTAGGTTTCAATAAAATAAATACCAGGTTTAAAGAACTAGAGGTTTTAAGATACTGCTCTTTTTGAAGAATGAGCATGATCAAATTTGAATGAGAGAGTTTTATGAAAAATTAGACACTGAAAGTAGATTTTCACACTTCAATGGAGGTGGTAAGTCTGAACACTTATTTGAAGTATCACTGTTGGTCAAAGTTTATACTTGCTCCAATTTTGTCTCTAACAGCTATTGAACCACTGTGAAAATTAAATGAGTACATGTAAAGTGCTTAGAATGGCGCCTGGTATATACAACTGTTATTTTTTTTTATAGATTTTATTTATTTATTTGAGAGAGAGAATGAGACAGAGAGCATGAGAGAGGGGAGGGTCAGAGGGAGAAGCAGGCTCCCCGCCGAGCAGGGAGCCCGATGCGGGACTCAATCCCGGGACTCCAGGATCATGACCTGAGCCGAAGGCAGTAGCTTAACCAACTGAGCCACCCAGGCACCCTACAACTGTTATTTCTTTATGAGAATTAAAATTAAAACTATATTGCTTTTTTCCCCACCAAATACAAACTATGTTGTACAGAGGAGTGAGAGATTAAAAGCAATCCTGAAAACAAAAGCTATCAAGATGACATAGAAATCCATACATGAGGGCACCTGGATGGCTCAGATGGTTAAGCGTCTGCCTTCGGCTCAGGTCATGATCCCAGGGTCCTGGGATCGAGTCCCCTATCGGGCTCCCTGCTCCTTGGGAGCCTGCTTCTCCCTCTGCTTCTCTCTCTCTCTCTCGCTGATGAATAAATAAATAAAATCTTAAAAAAAAAAAAAAAAAGAAATCCATACATGAGCTTATAATAAATATTTTCCTATTTTCTGATCTGGAGGTGGTTCATTAAGAGTTCTCCTATTTGAGGGGTGCTCAGTCAGAAGAGCATGCAATTCTTGATCTCAGGGTTGTTCAGTTCAGCCCCACACTGGGTGTAGAGATTACTTAAATAAATAAAACAAAGAGTTCTCTTAACTGAAAGACTTTTACACAACCGTAAAGTTTACTTTATATTCAAGGAAGATCCTCCTGGCATTAGTTCTTCATACACAATTAGAGTAAGTGCAGTTTTTTAAAACTACACTGTATTTTAAACAAATTTCTATTATGTTAAGGAAATACATCCTTTCTGGTCTGTCTTTTCTCTTAATTCTAGCTACACACTGCTGCCCTCTGCATTTCAGTTCTTCCAAATTGCCACCCCAATTATCACAAACCTAGTTTCCATCTCTATAGGTTATCTGATTCAATGAGAGGGATATGTCCGTGTATGTAGAGAAGAGGGAAGGCCACTTCAAAAAAGCAAGAAGGCACTAGAGCAAGATGTTGTCACAGTCCAAAAGAGCCCATCTGAGAGGAGGGCCTTAAGGGTCCTGCAACAGACCCCAATCCCCCAGAGAAAGTTCTTTCCTGGCATTTATGTAGCCTCTTTGTATCACAGGATTTTATATATATATTTTAATATTTTATTTATTTGACAGAGAGATTTAGCGAGAGCAGGAACAGAAACAGGGGGAGTGGGACAGGGCGAAGCAGGCTTCCCGCGGAGCAGGGAACCCGATCCGGGGCTCGATTCCAGGACCCCGGGATCATGACCTGAGCCGAAGGCAGACGCTTAAGGACTGAGCCACCCAGGCACCCTGGATTTTATATTTTTAACTGGAAAAAATGATACACGTATGGAAAAAATTTAGAAAGGGTAAACAGCGAAAAATATAATCAGTGAAAACCTTTGGCTTCTATTCCAAATCTCTCGATAGGTTTATGTATATATACAGTATATATTATTAAAAACATACATTTCTTTCTAAACGTAAATGGAAGTATTCACATCACTCTGCTTATCATTCAAGACAATAACTTGGAGACTGTTCCCTTTCAGGCGAGATTAACCTATATAATTTACTTTATTAAAACCAAGCAGGTTCTAACAAAATGTTTTAAATAAATCAACCTTCTCTTCAACAGGTTCTGCCACAATTAGCTTTTTATTGCTACCAAGGCTTTTATTATATAAAGCGATGGCTCTAAAACTTGAACCGATATTGGTTATCACCTGGAGCGCTTTAAAACAGGTTGCTGAGCCACCTCGAGTTTCGGATTCAGAAGGTCTGGAGTGGGTGCTGAGAATTTGGCACTCGTAATAAATCACCAGGCGATGGTGACGCAGGGGTTGCGTGGACCACATTTTGCGAACGAACCACTATGATGCACGCCGCATTAAACTCCGTTCCTCCCACCTCCCAGCGCCGCTCGTCTAAGAAGGCACACGCGATTACTCCCTGGGGAACTTCAGGACAGGTCCAACACCACACAGTCCTAAAGAAGTCAAACACCCGGCACGCGCAGCAGAAACTGGGATAAGACAAACCTACATCCGGCGTCTGGCGCAACCTAGCTACGCCATTTCCTTTCCATGAAGCTCCGCCCACTCCGCGTCCCTAACGCAAGGCTGGGCGGCCCAGAGAAAGCTGGGAATCACGTGGGTAGGGCGGCGTCTCGCGAGGCTTTTAATCTCTCGCGAGACTTGAACGGCTTCTGTCTTTTCCTCCTTCCACTGCCCGGCTTTCTTCCCCTCCCCCACATTGCCGACTAAGTTCTCGCGTTTCGGACGGAGTCGCCTTGTTGTTGCCGCGGAGATTTCTGCTGCTGCTGCTGCCACTGTCGCCGCCGCCACCACTGGGCTCGTTTGCCCCGACCCCTTCCTGCCGCCCTGCCCCCAGCCCCACACAAGGTAACGAAGCCGGCGAGGGAGAGAGCAGGGCCTCGCCGGGCCTCGGCCTCTCCCTGGTGGAAGCGGAGGCCTGAGGCCGAGGAGCGGGCCGCGTTGGAGAGGCCTGGGCGCCGGCAAGAGTCTTAGGGGCCCGGCCTCCTCTGCCACCCAGAGCTGGGCCCTGAGCGGCCCCGGACGGGGCTGGGACCTCCGTGCGGTGGCGACGACCGGGGCTAACCCAGGAAACCGGTCGGGTGGGGTCGGGATGGCGAGGCCTCTTGAGGAGGCCCTCAGCGAGAGTCCCCTGCGGAGCGCGTTTGGGGGTGTGAGGCTCCGGCACTGCTGGGGTCCTCGCCGTTTGTGTTTTCCGTTTCCCTGGAGCTTGTGTTTGAATTTCGAGGTCTGAAATAATCGACCAGTTGTGGCGGGCTTTGAGGTGTTGGGTGCCTGGCTTGCTCTAGCTTTGGAGCCCTTTCCAGTTCCAGGCGGTGGTTGGACGGGAATTGTAAGACAGAGAAGGGTCCCCGGAAACCCCGCGTGTTTGCTTTATAAGTCGAGAAAGGATTCTTGTATCTTATTTTCCGGAGGAGAATGAGCCAGATCGGGAGAAAGGCACGCTCCTTACAATGCCTAAATGGGATAGGGTTTGTGCCGTTTTCTTTAATGAAGACGCTGCATCGGCGATATTTAAGCGGCCGGGTGAAACATTTTTGCTCTGGAGAAGAGGTTCTGAACACGCTTACTGATTAATAGCTCACGTAGAGAGTATTATTTATGTAGTTAATCCAAAAGCCATTTATATTTTGTTTTGGAAGTATTCTTTAGTGCTTAAAAGTAGTTTTTTCCTTAATTCTCGACTCTTCCAACAGATTAGTGCCCCCCCCACCCCCTGCTGGCGAAGATGTAACAACCCTGTTAATTGAGCCAAATACAGTCTCTTCCCTGTTACAGGAGTTTAAAGAAAATTAGAAATTATCCTTTTTCCTTTTGTCTTAGCTCTTGTCCGATAAATTCCACACAGAAACAAAACAAGTTTATAATCTGCGGAATCCATTCCCTTGAAGCTTGTATTTGACGCACAGCTTTTCTCAGAACTAAGAGTAAAGGTAATGGTATTAAATTAAGCTGCAGCAATGAATTATATTAAGGAGTTGGGAGCAAAACTGGTAAGGATTAAGTCAGGCAGACAGGGAAATTATTTTTTATGGTGTTTTTGGTTCAGTTTTCATGGTCTTACCTTTTTTATTTTCCCCAGATGTCAGAGGATCTAGCAAAGCAGCTGGCAAGCTACAAAGCTCAACTCCAGCAAGTTGAAGCTGCATTGTCTGGAAATGGAGAAAATGAAGATTTGCTAAAATTAAAGAAAGATTTACAAGTAAGTATAAGAGGACACTAATAGTTACATTGCTTAGAAAAAGTATTTCTTTGGTTTTCAAATGATTTATTGCTTAGGATCCAAAGCACCATTTGGAGGGGAGTGTTTCTTCCACTATCCTCCCTTGTGTGAACATGTGTATATGCACATGTACATGGCTCACAGAGGTAGGGTTGCTTCCTCAGTTGTATACATCAAAATGAGTAAAGCATTGTTCTTATGTAAATCTTGTCTCCATATAATTTTTAAAAATAAGAGTTGAATTTAGAAGTCTCTGTCAAACCTAGAGAATAGGTACATACAACTTTACAGTGCAAAATGCTTTTATTTTTAAAGATCTGGCAAAGGAAATTTAGTTTGAGAGGTAACCAAAAGGAGAAAAATACATGGAATTTAAAAAGTTAACTATGCTGGTATTTAAAAAAAAAAAACAAATGTGGAAGCATTTTATAAGTGATGAAAACAATGAGAAAAATACAACCTGATAAGATTCTTTTTAATGTCACAAGATTCTTTGAAAATGAGTGTGTGTGTGTTTCAAAGCTAGCAGGTAAACACCTGGTATTGAAAAACACATTATAAAGATATGTAAAGGGATACTTGTTCTCTGCATAAGTGTTACATAATGTTTGAATTTAAGGCTAGATTTTACATTGTAGTTCTTGACACTTGTTGAAGTTAAATTGAGTGGATGTGGAAAGGAGATCTTAATTTGTTTTGTCATGGGAAAGTTCAGTAGGTATGAAACTTGCCTTTTTAAAACCTGCACTGGGGTTTCAAGACAAGCATAAAACCATTATAGTAAATATCTGTTGTTTCTCAGAACATGAGGTTGATTAATAAAAATACTGTATATATATATACACATATATATCACTTCATTTTAGTAAATTTTGAGCCTGGTTTTTTTGAAAGTTTTAAAAGGTGTTTTGATTTGATGGTCTTTCTTTACCGATTTAGTATAAAACTAGAATCATCTTTATCCTGTCTAAATCCTTTTCCTCCCTTTATCATCCTCTTGCCCATTAAAATTAATATTTTAGGGATATTAGAACTGTAAATAAATGAAACTTATTTGAAATGGGGTCCAGATACAAGGACTTTGAAAGAGTTTATCTGGGCATAATTAAAATTAGTTGAATATTTTCAGGTTCAAATTGTGGAATTAGGATAAACTTGCCTGAAGTTGCAATAGTATGTAATTTTTAAAAACACAGAATATGGGACCCCTCTTCAGTATGTAAAAGTCAGGCCCGTGAATTTGAGAGTGCTAGTCAATACTAAAAATTTGTTTGGGGAGCAATTTCTCCCACCCCCAGGCCAACTTTCTGTTTACCTCAAAGAGAGATTCTGGCATGCATCTTCTTTTACCAGCTTAAAAGCGGTCCTTTTTTTTCTTTGAAGAAAATAAAACATTGTTGGTATTATGTATATTGCTTCCTGGGCAGTTGGAAGAAGCTTATGTGTGGAACTGGTAGAGGGGAAGTTGGGAGTGAAGGTTGAAACTCAACATTATTGTGAGGTGTTTTTTTTTTTTAATATTTCTAGAATAAACTGTCAAGGGTCTAGGCAGAATTGCCTTACTATGACATGATCTATAGTGGAAGTATTGTAGGGAGAGAGACTGTTGTGGTAGGTATTTTAATAAGCACATAAATGGCTTACTTAGTGTTCAGTTAATAATGACCTGGGGGTCATTTATCTGTAAGTATCCTCTTTTCTATAACCATTTAGAACAGCATTGTCCAGTAGAACTTTGTGTCATGATGAAAGTGTTTTATATTTCCTGTGTCGTACTGTAGCTACTAGGGACTACTGAATATTTGAAATATGGCTAGGGTAGCTAAGAACTGAATTTTTAATTTTTTTTAAGTAGCCACTTGTGACTACTATATTGGATAGCACAGATTTAGAAGCTTAAGTTCTAAAACTTCAGATAGTAGTAATGCAGAATGTCTTTCCTGACCAATCTTGATCACGGTTTCTTTTCCTCTTTGTCATGAAAACACATTTTTCATTTCGGTTTGCTAGATACAGGTCTATTTTGAACTGAAAATTACTCAAAGATAGAAGACATCATTGAAGATTAGATAAAGTTTTGAAAAGTGTTTGGGTGTCTGCTTCCACCTAGTAATTGTTGTCTCCATTGATTACAGTTATATCTTGTTTTATCATGGATTTTTAAAAAATATTTTTCCTTTTTATCTCTTCTCTGTTTCTGGGATATATACCTCATGCCTTTGATATTTAATTCTGCCTTTTATATTTGCTGAAAATTTGTTCAGACTAATGACTGAGTTTGTGGCCTCCTTTGTTTTGTGTTCCTTTAGTGGAATGTATTTACCCTGGTTATGAATTTGTTTGCCCTTTCATTTATGACAAAATGCTTTTCTGCATTTTTTTTCAGTGACTTCATTTTGCCAGTAAGGCTTCCATGTTTATCTTTTTTATGTACTGTCTTTCACATAAAGTTACTCAGCAGGCAGCATATTAATCTACTGAAGTCCTAATTGCCTCTTTTCACTTAAAAAAGTGGGTATAGTAAGATCTAGGCTAGCTACCCAACTAGCTCCCCAGGCAGTCTGTGATAATCACAAAAATAGTCAATTTATTAGGCTGTTTTGCTGAATAAACTGGTTCTAAAGGAGGCAGGGGTCAAGTCACTTGTCTCATATATTACAGTGGCTCTCTGCATCCCCGAAACGCCTTCCTTCAGTAAGCAGAGTGCTTGAGTGCACCCTTTGACCTGCTGATATGTAGATCACAACATCTGATGCTTCCTGGAATTGCCGATTACTGTAACTGCTGCCCATCTGTCGATGAAGGAGCAGTTTCAGAACTCAGACTTGGGGGAGGAAAAGTAATTAATGGTATGTACCTTTAAGAACCCCCTCATACATAAAATAGTTTCTCTAATACTTTGGTCCGTATGCACATGTAAAGAAAACATTGAGAAGGGTCTTCATAGTTTGTTGGGAGGGGTATGTGAAACATGGCAAAATGAACGGACAACTAGGGATAAATGCTTATGATTTTTTTTAAAGTGTCACTTCAGTGCTGGGCTCTGAAAATTGTAACATGCACAGCTTTTCAGGACCCTTTGTTAAAAATGTATTTCTTTATGAAAATAAAATGGTAAGATGCTCTATGCTAAGAGAGGTAGAGTTCTAAATCTGAGACCTACAAATAGAGAAATCATGTTTGTGCTTTAGTTAAATGAAATTATTTAATGATAGGGATTATATTGGCTCTTGAGTCAGGCTTACTGGATTATATTCTTGGCCCTAATAGTGGTTGATTAAAAACAAGACT